TGCAGCAGGATCTGGTGCATTTTGGGAGCAGGGCAAGGCTGTGCCTGTGGGGGATGCCAAGAGAAGATGCCAGACTGATCAATCAAGCAGACTGGAAAAGGGCTGATGTGGCAAACACTGCCCTGGCCTTTGTGTGCAGACTTGGGGAGAGAATCAGCAGATTTAAATCAAACAAAAAAACAGGCTGGGAAGGGAGGGATGAAGCTTAGGCAAAAATCTCCAGTCCTCAGATGAATGGGGATGATAAACTGATCCCAGCTCTGGTGTGGAAGAGACAAAACCTCCTCCAGATAAAAACAAGCTCAGCCCCACAAACTTCCCCTGACAACTGAAACAGAAATGTGAAATATCTGGAAGAAAAAGAGGGAGGTCAGAGCTTTACAGCTCTGCAGAACAGATATTTCACACATAAACACATTTTATTTTCCTATTTGATTTTGACACCAGCTCAGCAAAGACCTGAGGTGCTGCTGAAAAGAAGGGTTTGAAGCTATGGAACATTTGTATTTTAGTTTCAGCTGCAATGAAACGCAGTTAAAATCTCCCCTAACACATCCCAAGTGCAGCCACCAATATTCCTGTAAGGATTCAGGAACTTTTCAACTTCCCAAGTAAAGAGCTACTGAAAAAAAGCTCTTTATTCCTACCCAAATCAGGCTGGAGACCTTTTAGTGACAATTTAAAGCTGACAGAAGAAAGCAATGAGGTTTTCTGGTCCATTTTGTTGAAACAAAGGACAAAACACATTTTTCCCAATATCCATGTGCAAGTATTTAGCTTCAGCTCCTCCTGACAGAATATTTCTGTTGTCAGTAGAGGAGAAATCAAAATGATTTTTTAAAAAAAAGGTAACTTTGGAATAAGATGAAGAAATCCAGAATTTATTTCATGAGTTCAGGTAAGAATTTTGGGCAAAGGACTGTGATGAAATTCTGCATGAGCTCCCAGCAGAACTAAGGCATGGCAGCATCACAAGAGCTGCATTGGAGTTCTCCAGAAAAAAAAACCAAAACTTTTCTCAGTCATTCTCTATAGAAATTCCCCCAAACTGAGGTTTCTGCTTCTCTGTTCTCTCAGTTTTTCTGTCTCTACCAATCACACCCCTCCCTTTTGTTTTGTTCACCTTTTCTTGGCTCTTTCTCCTCCTTTCTTTGTCCTAAATTTTCAGGCTGTCTCACTCATAAACTCCTATAATTAGCGACCATTCTCTTCCCTTTTTCACCTATCAAATCTCAACTATTTCTTTTCCTACCTTCACCCTCCTGTATTTTATAGGAACTGATGTAATACAGACACTCTGCTTGCCCACACCAAGTATTCCCCAAGATTTATTATGATTTAAAAGGTAAAAAGTCAATTTTTGAGTGCTTCCAACCGCCAGTCAGTGAAACTCATCTTTCCCCAAGAAATCTGCTGTTCTTTGAAGCTCAGAATTTTTAAAGGATGGTGAAAAATTGTTGGGGGAGCTGATAACAACCCCAGATTATCTGACAGCTTCTATCCCTGACAACAGCCAAGAACCTTCCTCAGTTAGGGAAAACCATGTTAAATACTCACATATTAATTATATGATGTATTTTGCATCATCTGAACTGTTGCACTTGTGGTATTCATCCACTCTGGCCTTCTTTGAGCAGCAAAACCTTCAGCAATATTTACTTGAAAAGCTCTCAAAGATCAAACTATTTTCAGTAATGACACAAGGGGACATAAATATGACATAAAGGGATGTCTTCCA